AAGAGTCTGATCTAGACAAACCAGCCGACATTTATAACAAAATAAATACTTTTAACCACTAATGCTGGTCTGGCACGATCTGTGATGCGACACACATTACGTAATCAGGTTGAAAGGTCAAGCGGGACGTAGGTGTAAGAACAGACCCAAGCTGTGTCCGAAACCGTTCACTCATTCACTAATCCCTATATAGTGTATGGCATTTGAGTGCACTAGCATAGCATATCTGCAAGGAGTGAACGAAATGAAGTGAGTGAATTCGGACGCTGACGTTTACACTGTGCGTCGGAGAGTTGGAGCTGTCGCAGAAAAGGCTTCGTCACACGTACTGATAAAACTCCTTTTATCTTATGTTACTTACTTTATAAAATAATATTAACAACAATCACAATCATAATGACTTTATTTTGTAATTGTATATACCTCCGTGCCAGCTTTGTAGTTTCATCGACTGAAATTGTAACTCTCACGCTCACAGATGACGTGGTGGTCGAGAGTCCTCAGGCGACCGTTATTATATTCGAATGAATACGCTTCCTACAGATGATAACGGATATTGTTCAAATCATCCACCAAATAATCATCTCTCCCTTTACAGTTTAACGAGTTAACAACAATGCCATAAATTATCAAAACACATTAGTAAAACACATTAAATTGTGTTAATGCCTAAATAATATATTTTAATAAAAAAAACGATATAAATATAATTTAATTTAATTTTACAATTCATCTATATAATATTGTCTCAATGTTTTAATATGTTCTATTCAAGTAATGATTAATAGAAAAATAAAACTAGCATGAAATAAATGTTAAAGCAGGAATAAGAGAGCTGTAATGTAATCTCTGGTTTAAACTTGCTCTCTCGGTTCTCTCCGCATTGGATTGTGGGAAATAGTGCTTCAGCAAGTGTACATCGAATGTACACTCAGAGAGGATTGTGGGTAAAAGTAGTGAATGAATGTAGGGAATGATGTCGTTCACTCAGAATTCGGACACCACTACAAAATGGCCGACACCCGATATAGTGCACTATGTAGTGGATAGGGAGCGGTTTCAGACACAGCTCCAGTGTTTACAAAGCCAACGTGCAAAGACTAAAAGTGAAACGCCATTTACAAAATAAATAAAAGGTAAAACAACGATGTCGGACGATTTTGAAGTTGGAGGAGAAAATGAGATTTTTCGCCCTACCTTTCCTTTCTGAACCGGAACACGTGTGACCTTTCATCCTGATTATGTAATGTGTGTCGCATCGCAGCTCGTGGAAGACCAGCATTAGTGGTTAAAAGTATATAAATGTATATTTTTTTATAAATGTCCGCTGGTTTGTCTAGATCAGACTCTTATTCCTCGGCTGGATCGTGTCGAGACTTTGAAGCTGCACTGAAACTCACATCTGGACCTTCGACCCGTTGGACCCCATTGAAGACACTATATGGAGAAACATCTGGAGTGTGTTCCTCAAAAACCGAAGAAAGAAGAAAGAAACACATGAACATCTTGGATGACGTGGGGGCGAGTAAATTATCAGGACATTTTAATTCTGAAGTGAACTAATTCTTATGCAATTTATATTGGACTGTATAACAAACACAGGCTGAAACTCATTGCAGGAGTGTGTTCAGGTGTGTGTAGGCGTCAGTAGAGGGCAGCATTGAGTCGATGAGCGCATCTGCTGATCTGAGGTCAGGATTTAGATCTGCATATTTGTTTTTGCTGTGATAAATAATAAGAACAGTCATGTTTGGTTAGTACAGCATCCCCAGAAGTATTTGTTCTTGCACTTGAGTGTCTGAATGTCAGTGCATTAGGTCACAAAGTGTCATTTATTATTCAGAAAGAAACACTTTACAATCTAAACACTGACACATTTGCAATGCTAAATCATGAGCTACTCCTGTTCATTCACTAAAACACCGCAAGAGAACAGATCCTGCCGCGTTTGATCTGATGAAGTGCACAAGCATATATTTATGGGGCGATTTATGAATAAGACATGAGAAAATCATTCTCCAGCTTTCATCTTTCATTCATCATTGATGATTTTGTGTGTTTTATTCCAGTGGAATGACGATCGTTTGACTCGTTTTAAGGATGTCTGCGAGTGTTTTCACCGGTGAAAAGCAAATATGTGAAACGCCATGCAGGAAAATGAGCTGATGAATAAAGGAACGGGCGTGTGTGTGTGTGTGTGTGTGTGTGTGTCTTCAAGGACTTTAATTACAAGTGACATTTTAAAGGGAAATTCTCTGTTTTTGAAGCGGGTGCATTACAGTTTATACACTACCAGTTAAAAGATTGGAATGAGGATGTTTCTGAAAGAGTCTCTTCTGCTCATCAAAGCTGCATTTATTTAATTACAGATACAGTAAAAATTGTGAAATATTATTCCAATGTAAATCAGCTGTTTTCTATGTGAATATATAGTAAAATGTAATTTATTCCTGTGATCAAAGCTGTATTTTCAGCATCATTACTCCAGTCTTCAGTGTCA